AACAGGTCTTGAGTATAAACATTTCACTGTATTGCAAATTCTGCAGCTTGTAAACAAAACATCAGTCACAGCACAGTTCAGCCTCTCCCCACTTCAAGCCTGAACACATAAATCAACTTCTCTTCAATGTTAATGAATATTATTCTACTCACTTGCTCCTTGATCTATGAAACACTTATTGTCTCACTTCATAAAATACATTTCCTGCACACCAAGCATTTTTCTCTATAACATTTCCTGCTCATTAGTATAAGAACAGTATTTTATCTGTTTTCATGTATTGAAAATCTGGGACCAGGCTTTCAATGAAAGCACTGGAAAATGTGTGAACGGGAAGTAGGAGTTACTAAAAAGAGAAACAACAAAAACTGAGTGAGGACAAAGTTTCAGGAAGTCAAAATAGTCATGACAGGGCAATGCTAGGAGTAACATCATCCACCTCAGACAGTTCTACCATAATATCATGTTTGTTTCTCAAACATTCACCTGAGTTCCTGTCAAAATTAGTCCAATACAGCAGGGAAAACCAGTACAGTGTTCTTTTCCTTGGGAGATAACAGACAACTTAGCACCATACCCAAAATTTTTTACCTTTTCCATAGCTGAAGGAATTTAAATACAAGGAGGTGTAAAAAGTGACCATGTCTGTTCTAAGCTGGGTTTAACTACTCACAGTCACTGCTGGGAGGAGTTCATCCATTCCAGAGTTCCTGTCACACACAGTAGGAACCAGAAAACAATCATACAGCAGAACAGGGGAAAAACTAAAAGCCGTGTTAGTTTATTATTCACTTCAAAATACAGGAGATTACAAAGATTCTGGAAGAGAGGGAACATTTGTCAGTGTCATCCTGAGCGTTCCTGCACAGCTCTTTCAATCTGCCTCTGTTCCCCCTCAAACAGAACTGCCAGGAGTGCAATAAATCTCTCACATTCCCAGCTTGGAGGGATCCTGTCATGACCTCTGGGAGATGACACAAATCAGATTTGTTCACAGCCCAACCCAGCAACATCCACAGCTCAGCTGAGCCCCTCGGGTGAGACACAAATGTGGAGTCCAAATTTAGAGAAAGAAGAAGAGATCCTCTCTTAATCTGCTCCACATATTAAGCACAAGAAATGTGATAAAAGAGGTGCCACAGTCACTGTGAGGTCAAAGCACTCAGCATCTTCCTGGATCAAGGCATACTCATTTTTTCCTTAGGGGCCTGCATAACTTTTCTCCCAACAAAATGAAACTGCAGCTACCCACATTAATTTTCCCTAGGCTGAAGCTTTCAAATGTGAATTTTTCTGCCTCAGATCAGAGGGTCCTGATGCCGTCACTAACGAGTGAGAAACTTCCTGTGAATATTTATTAAAAATCTACTGTGGCTTAATATACTTCAATAAAACTTGCTCTTTTCCTCCTAAAGTAAAATTCCTCTTAAACCTTAAGTTCTCCTGCTGCTTCAGTTTGCTGGAAAAGTCCATGATGTTAAACCCATCCATGGCTGCTTCGGTTTTTATGCAAATTCCAACCATCAGAGTTATATAAGGGCTTATGCAATGAAAAGAAATATAATACACCAACCTGCCCATGTCACTGAGAGTTATTTACAAGAGCTATAATCCAAAGTTCTGGTTTGCTTTATATTTAAGGGCCTACTGCACAGGCAAAATGTCATATATGCCCAAAATTTGCTTTCAGTCACTTTCCCCTCCCAAAGAAAGAGAAAACTACAATTCAGCTGCCTGCTGAAGGCTATTCCTTAGTCAGAGTCCATGCAAAATTGTATTAGAAGCTTTGAAGTTAAAACATGAACATTGACTACCAGGGAGGGCCCTAAAGACAAAGACATTTACTGGATGTAAATATTCAGTGAAGACAAAGGTCACCTTCAACTTTCCCAAAATCAAACCATGTTGGAAACTCACATCCTGCTTTCAAGTTTTGCTTCAGAGCTGAAATCTTTTCATGGAAGGAATCAGCAGTGAAATATTATTAACCTTGGTGATTGATTATGTTGTAATGGCCAAGTTATGATAACCTCAGAGGCCATGGGACTGCAGAGCCTCAGCTGGTGGGACACAGGAATCTGATTCATCCCAGCTCCAGAGCAGATGGGGCACGGGCAGAGGAGCTGCTGGGCAAGCCAAGCCTCCACCCTGCAGGAAATGAGGTTTTATCTCAATTGGTGGCTTTGGACCAAATCAAGCAGGAAACAAACCCTTTTGAAAATGTCCACAAACTGGAAATTCCCAGAAAGATCACTTCAGAAACATCAAAAAACTTCCAGAACACCATTCCCAAGTTCCCAAGGCTGCAGCTGATCAGTGACATTGTCTCTGGCAGCAGCAGCAGCAGCATCTGCACACAGCAGCTCCACACAGTAGCTGTGGGAGCTGCCGAAGCTCCCTGGCTCCTGTGCAGAGGATGCTGAGGACACCCTGGGAATGCTGCCCAGAGCCACAGCTCCACTGCAGGGACTGCAGGAGCTCCAGCAGCCCAGCCTCAGCCAAGCTCTCAGTGCTTCCAGACACAGAAATCACTGTGCAGTTCAGGCTCCCAGCACTTCTCTGCTTTCAGCTTTAGAAGGGGTAGCCCAAGGCCACCAGCTGGAGTTTGGAGCCCCCAAGCCCTGGACAGAGAGCTCCAAGGCAGAGTTGCCTGGGTTGAGCTGCTCCAGGAACCAGGCAAGAACTCTTCAAATGGGGTAACTTCAACCTAAACATGTCAGGATGTGCCATTTCCAGCTAAACTTTGATCAATTAATCTCCAGCTAGCATGGAACAGTGATACAAACCCCAAAGGCTTTACTCTCCACTGCTTACCTTCATCCAAAGTCATTTGTATTTATGACAGGGAAAAGAGTTTATCCAGACCAGCTTTTGGATCATGAGATAAGCATCTGACAGCATTATTTACAGATATGAGAAAATCAGCAGCAATGCCTTTGGCTACTCTCTGTGCCCTGGCTGCTCCCTTCCACCTCTGTACCACAAGGAGCCTCCTCAGATCTCCTGGCAACTGTTCACAGCTGAGATGAAGAAATGTCAAACTTTGAGAATAAGCTGGAGTTTTTGTTCAGTATAGAAAGGTAAATTATCTACTGAGAGCAAGGCAAAGACAAAGTGTGACCTCTGTATTTGCACATCTGCCTCAGTTCCCACTCCAAGGGAGATTTGTTATTAAATCTTCAGGTAACTGATCTGCATTTTGAAGAATGTGAAGGAAAAGCTGCCCAGGAGCCACAGCAGGAGAGGGGGACACTTGCTCTTGGTTCTGCAGTGAAAATTAAGGTCTTCAGAGAAGCATCAGTTCTTTTCTGCATTTCTACTCTGTGATCCAGTGGTCCCTTATTTACTTCTCACTCCATTTAACAGAGGGTTTCAATGAAGTTTTTCATGTTTCTCCAACCTTTTTTCTCCTTGTTGAGCACATTACTTACTTGGAACACGTGAGATATTTTAATGCAACACTGCAATTACATTTATTTTGCATTTTACACTTAAATGATCACATGAATTAAAAAAGGAATGCACAGAGGTCTGAGTGGATGGGGATGGTGGTCTGGTTTGCAGAGCTTGAGCTGGGGTCTTCTCCAGGCCTTTTTTTCAGCAGTTTCACTGCTCTGGTGACCCTTGTTCCCAACTGTACCTTTGAAATCTGGTCACTACAGCAGAAAGCCAAACTTCATTACTCAAAAAGTCAAAAATGGAACCTGAACCAGAATTTTTTCCCCACTGCAACAGCTGTTCTGGCCCAGAGTGATTTGAAAAACGTAAAAGCCTTTCAAAGTACTGCCAAATGAAAGTTCTTGATTAGTAGATCCCAACCAATTAATTATCCCATCATCACCACACAAATCCTTTAGACTGAAGGAGGTATATAAGGATGATTTAGGGCCATACTTACCTTTTATAATTCATTTTAAAACAGTCTCACAGACAGAGGTCTGTATTTATCCAAAGAATCTTAATGTGTTGGCTAAACTTAATGAAGAGATTTAGGTTAATGCACCTCATCTATCCTGTTAAAGTAGCAATTATGCATCTGGAAGAAAAGTGTTTCCAGGGCCCCTGAAGTCCATGCCAGTAAAGCACTGCAGCTGCAGTTTACGAGAAAAGAAGAACAACAACTCTACAATTTACAAACCAGGTTTATAGACTAAATATTCCCAATGCAGACATTTCATTGATAGAACTGTGGAGACAGGGAGATCATCTCATTTAGTAAAAAAAACCCTCAACCACCCCAAAATCTCACATGTGTCTCTAAACACGTGTTTTGAAAATACCAAGGAACTGTGACATTTTTGCTCTGCCAGAAAAATGATCACATCTTGATTGAATACTTTTCCTTCCCATTTCCTTTTCCAAGCTGAAATGTCAACTATTTTAAGTAAAATCCGAATATTACCCAACCACAAAGCAGAAGAGAACCTTGATGCCGCAGCTGTCCCTGAAAAGGCACATTCCAGTTCCACACTTGCAGTTTTACCAGGAAGAAAACAGAGATGAAACCTTTCCAAGTGCTTTGCTGCCTAATGACACAATCACCAGCATGTTATTAAAGCTCAACACCCTGACACTGCAGTCATTATATCTGCAAACACCAAGACATTATAGCAGGAGAAAACAATCCTTTTATTGAAAGCAAAGACGTCTCTTTGTGACAGGTGAATGTTTTACTCCTGAGATGAACCCCGTATACATAACTATTTCTATGCAGTTTTCATGTTCCATTTACACAATTTGCTGGCTAAAATGGTTTTAACAGTCAATCAAGGGTTCAAGTATTAAGCTGCAGAACAGAAGAAAATTATATTGTGTTACTGAAGTCAGGTAGATAAACAACAACTCCTGATTGTGATGATACCATTATGAACCTCAGGATGAACAGGAGAGAGAAAACATTCACTTGGTTTCATATTCTAAATACTTGCTGAGATTCATGTATAAATGGATGAAAAAACAGACAGGGTTATTGTGTAATATTTTAATATCATAAAGCCAAATTTATTCAAACCAGGAAAAAAGGAAAGTGGTGTTTATGTCTTGTGTGGAGTACTGCCTTACTGAATTTGTGTTTATTATTCTGACAAGCTACAAAAATAAAAGATATAAATACAAAGACAACAGTAAATGTGTATCTCTTCTTTTGCAAGCAAACTGTCACAATATTATGCTCATTAAAAAGCTTTCTAAAACTAATAGCTCAGTGAAACACCAGACTTAATGGTTTGAGATAAATATCTTGCAACAGAGCTGTTTAAGCCACTGTAAAAACAAACCTCTTAAACAGCAGAAGCACAAACACCAAGCAAACAACAGAGAACCTGTGTTCCCTGAAGTCACTTTGCAGCTTTGCACTGACTCCAGGAAGAACTAGATCAAAATAAAAGCTTTCACTTTGTTTATATTTCCTTTGGGGCTGAATCTTCCTTTATTTTCTTGCTAAACCCAGCCAAAGATGGACTCATCCTAGAGAAAAAAAAGTGATAAAATTGAACTGGTCCATTCCCATTAACATAAAGAAAAAAGTCTCTATATCAAGTGGGACATATAAAGACTGTTCAGATTATTCAGATTGTACTTTAGACCATCAGGGAAGGATTTAGCTCAAGCAGAAGGCAAAATCCACCTCCCTTTGCCTTGGCAAAGCACAGAGCCCTCCCTGTGAGGATGGAGCTGCTCTGGTCCCCAAATCACTGAAATCTTGAAAAAATTTGAGCTCAATGTCAGTAATACTTTAGAATATAACTGGCACTTATTATAGTAACATTAAACAAGATCAGTGCATGTTTTTAATGTTTTTAATATTATTAATTTGCTTATTTTAGGGGTTTTTGGCCTTTAATAGACTGTCTACATACCCTGTCCAGGTATGCCCCATTCTGTGACCTCTGGATCTTGTCAGAGCCTGCAGGAGAACATCAGGTGGAGGAAAATCATCATTTGCAGTCACATGGAATCTAATCTTAATTGCAACATTCCAAGGAGTAAATAGGCAGCATTAAAATTCAAGTAGACTTCTGTTCTCTCAAAAAAACCCTCTATTTATAGAGGTAATAAAATGCAGCATTAATTTTCTAGATTTATTAATCTAGGGAAAAAAAAAGAAGATAAAAATAAACCCAGTTTATTCAGAGTTGTTGATCCCTATCTAAATATCTTCTAGAATTATTCCATTTGCTTCTTGATTAATGAAAAATTCAGATCAATAGGAGACTTATCTCCTAGATTTGATGTTGGGCAAAATCTGCTAATTAGAAAGAAGGTATTAGAATTGAAGGTTTTCACTGAAATACAGCTTAATAGGAGATTCTCAATTAAAGCTCCTGAGAAAGGGGTAAAATTACAATTAAGGCTAGAGAAAGAGGGGAGGAGGAGGGATTGCTTGGCTGGTGAGGTTTTTCAAGTCACTGGAAATTATATATAAAGAAAATTATCTTTCTCTAAAAGAAATGACTGGCTGAAAAGGGGACAAGCCCTGTCCATAAATCCAAGGTGAAACAGCACACGATGATCCATAACAAAGAGAAAATCAGCCATCATGGGAAGATGGCAAATCCACCCAGGAAATCCTATATAAGCAGGATTTGGGGCTTTTTCTCTTACAATAACTTGAAATATAATAATCTATTAAAGATTTCTTCCCCTTGTTTCTTGACACTTGTTCTTCTTTCTCTTGAGATCAAGCAAACATAAATCCAGGAAGATTTTTTTTTTTTTAAAATTCACTGTCCTACACATCCATGGATGTGTGTGTCTTACACATATATATAACATGTATATCTTAATGTATATCCAACATATACATGAATAGCTTTGCACAAACACTTCTGCAGTGATCTCAGCTGTGGGAGAAAGCACATGGAACAGCTTCCATGGGAGGAGAGATTTATTAGATTGGAACTTCTTAGCACAGAAATATGACAGAGACCAATGGAATCTTGAATATGAATAGCACATAATGAATAACTAATGCCATGTCATAATTCCAGAATTAATCAGGAATCGGGTTTCAAACCAACAGATTACACACAATGCAGAATATTTGCACAATAATTGTGGAGGAAGTTGTTGAAGCACATTTCAGTGGAATTTCTTCTCCTGTTCAAGAACATCCACTGGAGTAGAAATCTCTCTTCTGAACCAGAATTGAACTTCTTTTGTTCTCATGAAGAAGATTTTTTAGGGAGTACTTTCTTGTCATGTGTGTGGAAATCTAATCCAGCATTTTACAAAATAAGGCACTGGCAGGAATGGTCCTACATTTGGGATACACCCCAACATGTGGAAAACTTCCATCAGCACCAATGCACGGGAAGAAAAAGTGCTGTGGGTGAAAGTGGCATTTTTTAACTTGCCTGGTAGCTCTTCATGGATTAGTGTATTCTTTTTCCTAATAATTCATCCAACTGTGAGGCCAGAAATTCCAATTCCATTTGTAAGCATACACTGTATTATCTTAAATTGTGCAGCAGCTACAATGCCTCTAATTGAAATTGGCTGAATGCAGAGCACCAGTTTTAATTCCCAAGTCATTTTCCAGTAATGAAAGAGCTGCATTCAGGGCACAGAGTGAGAACATGTTCGATGGTTTTGTTAAATTGTGTTACAGCAACCTTTGGGGAGCATGTAATTTATTTATTGTATGTATGAAATCAACCACTATTTTCCTACGTGAAAAAATAAATTATTATTCATACTACTGCCTTGGACCCATCTGTGAATAAGTTTAATTAAATATTTCACATGTTCAGAAAAATTTGCAGATGTTTTATGTGCATGTCTTTAATGTCAGGCTGTAGCAAACACTTCCACCATCCTTCCATCAAATTAACACATACAAGACCCTCCATGAAACAAAAGGGTTTTTTCCTAAAATCCGGTGGTGCCTAGAGCATGGAATGAATTCCATTTGTGAGCTGTAAAACCTACTACCCAAAACAAACAGCCAAATGGCCTTTAAACCTTGGGATCTTCACTTGTATTAACAATTTGTTTTCTCTAGTAAAATGAAACCTTATCAGTTCATTTCCTACCTTCTCCATCAACCTGGCTGCAGGTCAACAGTCGACTTCTGAACCTTTCATTTTCCTCAAGCATTTTTGAAATCACTTTCCATACCTTGTGCCAGACTTTGGACTGAAAGATAAAATGTGAAGCATATTAAAAGTTTGCATTAAAACATCTGTAAGGCAGAACTTTGAATTCCCTACAATTACTATGAAATCCAGCTGGGTTTTTTCGTTGAAGACTAGGAAAGAAGGGAAGAAGGGAGAGATATATATGCGGGATATGTGGAAGAATCACCTGTATTTAAAAGTCAGAAACATAAATTCCTCCATGATTTTTCACATGAGATCTCCACCTCCTTTCTTGCCTAGAACTATTGTGTTTATCCAGGACTAGAGAAGTGCCCTTCCAGATAAGCAAAGCTCATGAAAACGTGTGCAGAGCCATTATGCTCTCTTCAAAGTCATCCAAAACAGGGGAGAAAAAAAAAATTGTGTAGTTTTCCAAGAGCAAGAAGTTTCCCATGTGGTCCCTCAGCAGCAGCATAACTGAGGCCCCAAATTCAGATTCCAGAATAGCAGTGCTCTTGCCTATTTCATATCAAATCCACATTAATTTGTTTTATATATGTTGAAAAGCTCTACTTTAGAGGCATAAAACTCTGTCCATAGTGGGCAATTCCAAAATTGTGCATCAAAAAGGCGAAATTGGAATTGTGGACAAAAGCATTCAGGCAGAGGTGGCCTAACAAATAGAAATGGCTGTTGATACACTGATATTTGGACTTTTGCTGGACCCCATCTGAGAAACTTTTAAATCTAAAGATAATTCCTTTCTCGAGGACATTTATTGCTAAAACATTCTATATATTCCTCATTGTTTTTGAAGACTATTCAGTGCACAGGAGAGCCATATTCCAGGATGTTATTAACTGTTCCTCTACAGTTGGTAGCATTTTGCTGTTTTTAAATCAAGTATCTATGACATGACTCTGTTCTAGTCCAGCTGATTACTTGTACTTCACACATTACAGAATCTCATAATGAGTTACTGCTTAACAAATGTCCCCCTTAAAATTTCAAGCATTTGTTGAACTACTGAGCAGGAACAGAAACACATTTGTGAAGCAGAAGGTAATTCTGCATTGCTCCAAGGATGGCATTAATAGCTCGGGTTCCTGCCTTCGCTTATTTGTAACCCATGGGATTTCTTTGTTTAAAATGTGAGAGGAAGAGGAGCTGCAGAGCTTTTTCCTGCTGGGTTTCACCCCCAAGGTGTTCTGCACCCTGGCCCCAATCCAGCAAAGCATTTCAGTACAGGCTTTAAGTCAACAGCATACTCTCATTTTTCAAGGTAAGAACATACTTAAGTGCTTTATTGAATAAGAGCCAGAATTTTAAAACCTCCAGAGAGGGAAGATAATACCATTTTTTCTTTTCTGTAAGTAAGGTTTTCAGTAACAGGCTAGCAATTCCATCTTTTAATCTCCCTCATGCTTTCACACACAGAGAACAAGCAGCTTTCTCAAATGCCAAGGCAGCTAATTGAGCTGCCACACTTTATACCTTTTTCTTCTTTCGTTTAATGACTTTATCAACGTTTCTTGAAGGGACAGGAAAGTCAAAAATGTCAGCCTTAGCCTCTTGAGGGTCACCTAGAAGGAGTTTAGAAAGCATTTTTTGAGTATTTACAATATGTTCCTGAGGAAGATGCTGATCACTGGCACAGGGTGCCCAGAGGAGCTGTGGCTGCCCCTGGATCCCTGGAAGTGTCCAAGACAGGTTGGATGGAGTTCTGAACAGCCTGGTCTAGTGGAAAGTGTCCCTAGAAGGGGGTGGAACTGGATAACCCTTAAGGTCCCTCTGAACCCAAACCACTCTATAATTCCAGAGGGATCCTTATTTCTGGTCACCTTACAGGGTATCAATCCTTACACCCTGCAGCTTGTCCCCTTCTTCTTTACTCCAATACAACCGTGGGACAAATGAGTGTCTCTCAAACGCCACAAAACAGATTTCAAAACTACACAGCACCCACACATTAGACAACAGACTTTTGGGAGCTTTTAATTCCCTCTCTTTCCGAGAACTGACACAGCAATCGAGGTGTGACCTCATCAGTGTCCAGAACTGGGGAAGAATCACCCCCCCGTGTTTTGCTGGCCCCGCTATTCCTGGTACAGACAATCAAGACAACACTTGAGCCACCTCCAGCCCTCAGAGAGCCCGACACACGGGGGCTGTCCCTGGGTCTCACGTACCGCTGCTGGTGCGGCTGCCGGCTCTGCCCTTGCCGCTCCCCGCTCGCCCCTCGGGGCTGGGCCCGGCCCGCGGCTCCGGGGCGGCCCTCGGGGCCCCAGCCCGGCCCGGGGAGCTCTGCCCGGGGCTCTGCCAGCGGCCCCGGCCCAGGTGGATCACGGTGCTGCTGCGGTGCGAGCCGAAGCTGCTCACGTACACGAACTGCATGGGCGGGCGGGCGCGGCGAGCGCGCTCCCTCTGCGGCGGGGCCGCGGGCATGAGGGGAAGCGGGGCTGGGCGCTGTGAGGGTCGCCGGGGATTGAGGCTTAGTGAGGAGAAACGAGGGTCGGTGTGGGGAACGGGGGCTGAGGGGAACCGGGGGCTGAGAGGAACCGCAGCTGAGGGGGCGGCGAGGGGAGCTGGGGACCGAGGGATCGGTGAGGGGAGCCGGGGCTGAAGGGCGGGGAGGGGAATCGCGGGTCAGTGAGGGGGGTAGCTCGGTGAAAGGAGCCCAGGGTTGTGAGACCAGCCGGGACTGAGGGGAGCCGGGGATTGAGGGGAGCCGGAGGTCGGTGAGAGGAGCCGGGGGTCGGTGAGAGGAGCCGGGGATTGAGGGGAGCCGGAGGTCGGTGAGAGGAGCCGGGGATTGAGGGGAGCCGGGGGTCGGTGAGAGGAGCCGGGGACTGAGGGGCTGGATGTCCCCCTGTCCCTGGGCCAGAGCTAGAGTTTAGCACACATTGTGCTGCCCGAAGCCACGTATTGATAAATTTCATGCAAGTTATTGATCTGTTTGTACCAGTGGTAAGTGGACTCTGGGCTGAAGGTTGTTTGATGTCTTGTTTGTCTCTGCAGCAGGGGAACTGCTGGCATCCCTTTGGTGCGGGTGCTGCTGCAGTGCCTGCACTGATAGGATTTCCTCTCCAAACGGTGCACCCGCTCCAGCCACACACTGAGCAATAATGAAATACCAAATACCTGTTTTGTCCTTCAGGCAGCGACAGATGTGTGACACAGGATGCCTGGCGGGGTCAGTCTGGTACATGCAGCTCCTCCTCATGGGTTTGTTGGATATGGATAGTGACAACTGGAATGCTCAAACCACTCAAGAGCTCAGGTCATAGAATCATGGAATGATTTGGGTTGGAAGAGACCTTAAACACCACCGAGTTCCATTCCCTGCCACGTGCAGGGACATCTATCCCAGGCTGCTCCCAGCCCTGTCCAGCCTGGCTTTGGGCACTTCCAGGGATCCAGGGGAAGCCACAGCAGCTCTGGTCACCTGTGCTGGGGCCTCACCATCCTCACAGAGAAGGATTTATGTCAAATCCCACCAATGTTTTCTTTGTCACTAAAATACTGCTCCAGATTACTTCCCAGAGTTCAGTTTGCGCAAGGTTGTAAATTAGAAATAATAAATTCTATGAAAATACCGATTTTTCCTAATTGTTTCAGCAGCACTGGCAGCATGAATGGTGTTGCCCTCGGGAATGGATCTAAAGAGACCACGAAGCAAACTGTGGTCATTCCAGAGAAGGGAATGGAGCTGGGGAAGGGGCTCATCCTGGAGAAAAGAGGGATCAGGGGGGATCTTCTGGCTCTGCACAACTCCCTGCCAAGAGGGGACAGCCAGGTGGGCTACCATGACAAGAGGGAACAGCCCCAGGCTGGGCTGGGGGAGGCTCAGGGTGGACAACAGCAGGAATTTCCCCATGGAAAGGGAGCTCAGGCACTGGAAGTGCCCAGTGAGGGTTGGATCCCCATCCCTGGAGGTGGCACTCAGAGCTCTGGGCTGGGCTCGGTGATGCCGGAGCTCTTTTCCCCTCAGCGCTTCCCGGGCCGGCGCAGTGCGGGCGGGCCCCGGCAGGTGGCGGCCGCTCCCGCCGAACCGGCGCTGCCCCGGCGCGGCCTGCCGAGCATCCGCGGATTGCCGCTACTGTACACACTGCCGGCAAAAGGCATGTCCCCTATGCAGCTGCGAGCGAGGAAAAACAACTCGCACAGACACAGCCTGTGACAGTTCGCCAGAGTAATTTGTTGTTTCCCAGTTATAAAAGGGCATCTCCTGCAGGCTCCAAAGGGTGCGGACGAAAAAGGAGGTTGCAGGTGTGACACAATCTCTGAGCCTTAAGATCAACTGTGTGACCTCAAATATCAACTGTGACCACCCATATCAGGGAAAGATTCTTTCCCCCGAGGGTTCTGGCACTGCCCAGGCTCCCCAGGGAACGGTCCCGGCCCCGAGGCTGCCAGAGCTGCAGGAGAGCTTGGACAGCGCTCCAGGGATGGAGCTGGGATTGTTGGGGGTCTGTGCAGGGCCAGGAGCTGGATCAATGACCTTTGTGGTTCTCTTCCACTCAGGATACTGTGGTTCTACAGTTCTCAATTCCACTCCTTCACAAACCCAAACTCCCTCCTCCTCTGTCAAAACCTGCACTAACCAACTGTACCAGTGAGGCTGCAGCCACTGAGTTCAGTTTGGGATACTAAACCCAAAAGCTTCATTAAAAAGGTCCCGGCCTACAAACTTCCCGAGGTCCATCCATCCCAAAGCCCTGGTAAAGAAATCCCTTCTTTAGCTGCAATACTGCCCACACCACCACCCCCCAGTGAATCCTCACACACAAACCTAAAGAGCCCCGTGTTCATTCCATGACTGTCTCTGCATTGTGCAGGAACACTCGCTGCTGTATCTGCCAGGGCAGGAGCTGCCTGTGCCAGCTGGCAGCTGCTTCCTTCCTCCGGCCTCCTCGGGGCACCACGGCTGCCAAGGCAGTGGTTTCTCAACACCTGTACTCACAGAAATGCTTCCACCCTGCTAATACAAACACACAGACCTCATGGGGCACATTTTGTCCACTTTTCCCAACAGCACATTTGCCAGCGCTTTGATCTTAAATGCAAATTCAGCTCAGATCCTTTTTAGGATCTGCTGCTACTCAGAAAAATCAATGCAACCTAAAATCTCTCTACAGATCTGTCAAGTTCAGCTATTTTAGCTGCACGCTGCTCTTCACCCACCTTTCCACATGTGTGAACTGACTACCAGCTGGCCACTATCTCTGTATGAATCACTCTGAGCAAACATCTCAGCTTTTCACCACAGCTGCAACTGTCTGGTTAAAACCAGCCCAGATTCCAGATTTCAGCCTGCACCTCATCGTGTGCTTGCTCTGTGCTCCAACGGCAGCTCCTCCATCTCACGACTTGAGTCGGTTCCTGAATTCCATTGTTTCAGTTTTGCTTTGGCCAAGGATGTGTCATCATCCATGAGCTCTGACAGCCCTTTTAAAATGAGGCAGTTTCTGGTGCCTACAGCCGGTGCCAAGGAGAAGGAAGGAAGGAAGGAGCCATTGGGACATTGCTGCACGCACGGTTGGTGATTCCCTGTAAAAACCCACCCTTCTGCTGCTAATGGAGATTTGGGTTTCTCTGAGTGTTCTTTGCAGTGGAAAGTACTCACATGATTCCACAGAATTCATGGAAACACAGAATGGGTTGAGTGGGACCTTTAAAGATCATCTCATTCTGCCCCTGCCATGGGCAGGGACACCTTCCACTGTCCCAGGCTGCTCCAAGCCCCATCCAACCTGGCCTGGGACACTTCCAGGGATCCAGAGGGCAACCTGTGCCAAGGCCTCCCCATCCTCACAGGGAGAAAATTATTCCATACATCTCACCTAAGCTTACCCTAAAATTCAACATACCTCAAGCAAGGCCACTGCTCATTAACTGTAACATTATCTTGATCAACTGGAAAGGGTGAATACATCTGAAGTAAGACTCTGACACTGTGAACAGGGAAAAGTGTGCTCATTCTGACAACAGCTGCACTCAAACCTTGTTAATTATACCCTCAGCAGTAGCACAAACAATTATTCTATCACCTTCATTTTCACAGAATATTTAATAAGTCACTGGAATGAGGGATTTCATTAGTATGTGGTTACTGCACAAAAGACACTGGGGACCATTTATTAGTGTAACTAGGAATCATTACAAAAACAAAAGTCACGACTTCTGCTAAGTCAAAGCAATGAATTTGCCTTCAGCTTCTTCTTAATTGTAAAATTTCATCATTTAGCCTGGCTAAATGGGGTAGCAAAGAGGGAAAATGGAACAGCACCTGCATTTCACAGCAGTGAACCTGCACAGCTTCCACTGCTTTACAAACCACACACATGGGAATCCCTTCCTCCACACCACTCATAAGGAGAAGCCAGTTCTCCCATCTCTTCATGCTGTGCATAAAAATATTGAGCAGACTATAAACTGTGTTACATAAAAGCCTGAGCCTCCTCTAGAGAGATTCCCAAATCAGTGAGAAGATCCATAGGCTTTACAGCAAAACCCACGTCAAGGAGATCAAACCCTCTGGCTTAGCAGAACTTTGTGTTACAGCATTTCAAGAGATTGCCAGTTGGAAATAAAACTATGGGGAAAACTCAAGGAGACAAAATGAGCTCGAGATTACACCAGAATGACACAGCATGATTTCCAGGAAAGGCTGGTAGTCAAGTGGATGAAGCAGAAGGCAGGTGAGGATTTCACTTGCTCTGATTTCATTTTCCAAATGAAAAATGAACTAAATGTTCAAGTTACTCGTATTTGTTTCCAAATCGGAGACAGGGAAACTTTACCAAGCTTTAGGCTGCAGAGACTATGATATTAAAGATTAAAAGTCTCCTGTTCAGGGGAATGTGCAGTTAGATCCTGAGAGAACACACAGCTGAGGAAGTTCAGCCCTTCCTGCCATTACCCTCCAGATACTGAAAGAATCCTGGTCCATGCAGATTTAAAATGCAAAAATCCCCAAATCATCCCCAAATGCAGCATTAATGTAGATAACCCAAGATCAAGCACAGAAAGCTCACGATTTCTTACTTCTCCTCTGAGATCCAACAGGATCCCGGGCCAAAGCGTGACCACCAACACACCTGGCTGCAGGAGTGCCCATCCCTGGAGGTGTCCCAGGAAGGGCTGGAGGTGGCACTCAGTGCTCTGGGCTGGGGACAAGATGGGCATCGGGCACAGCTTGGACCCCATGGATTCTGAGGTCTTTTCCGACCCAAAAGGTTCTGGGATTCTCAGCAGCAAGGCCACCCTGTAATGGCACTGAGCATCCCCTCCTCCCTCCCCCAGAGACAGCAGGCTGCTGCCAGGGGAGGAGCAGAGCAGGGCTCTGTCTCCATGGATTGCTCCCTCTGCAGAGAAAATGGCAGCAGTCACTGCTTTGTTCTGCCCTCACATTCCTCCACAGACACCCCCTGTGACAGCAACGCTTGAGCAAATTCCCTTTCCACTGACTGAAGAGCTGGGCTGATTTTGCCAGTGTGTACAGAGCATCTGTCCGTGCACAGCTGGCCCACTGCAGCAGAGCTGGGGGCTACTGCTGCTGCTTCCAGGAGAATGCCTCAGAAACTTAAGGGATCCCATTTAAACTCAGAAACATTTGGCATGAACGTGCTCCCAACCCAGACCAGCACTCGGCATCAGCTTAAAGCCACAAGCACTGCCTTGCAAAGTGACACTTGGCCGAACTGACAACTTAATGCACAGCAAGGCCTGAACAATCCCTGGGCAAACTGATCCTGCTCTGTGAGTCAGTAGCGATGTCAGATGGTGATTTACACTGAGCAAACATTTTTTTTCAAGCCTTGCATTGGAGAAGACTGGCAGAGTTGTTTTTCTTAATGCATTGCTCTCCTTCCACGGATTTCAGATCCTGAGTAACTGAGGCACACAGTCTGTGTCCACTGCATTTACCCCATCACTCTGCCATTTAAAACCAACATTCTTCACTCCCGTGAAAAGCAAAGCAACTCATAGTTTTGGGATAAAAAAATATTCCATGGCTAAGAGGAATAAAACTATATCCCTTTTAAACATTAAGAATAATACAAACCCAAAAATGTGTCCTCACAGTCATCCTTGACCTGTGCAGTGCCCAGAGGAGTTAATCTCAGCTTTCATGACTCACCAAAATTATATTTCAGGAGGAAGAATGCAATCAAATACTGACTAAATACATCTCTGTATTTTATGTATAGCAGGAGGACTGAGAATTTTGGACCAGCAAACTCAGTGGAGGAACATTAACGGAACACGGTCTCCCACGCTCCATAAACAAAGTGACTGAGGCAGCTTCCCTTAGGGAGAGATGCATTCAAATAAATCAGCATTTAGTATTAAATTGTCTCTCTGACAAGCCCTACAAGAAGTCAGGAAATTATAGTTCCTGTGCCATGAAAACAGGTGATATCTGATGGCATCAATCAGAGCATGGGGATGCAGGAAGACTTCAGTGATGTATTCAGAGCACTGATTCACCCCCTTCAGTTCCTCTGAGTGCACAGACAGCTGCGAGGATATTCTTATCCCACAGGCTGTTTTTCACTCTGACAAACTGAATCAGCTCATTTCACACAGGGAAAAGGATGGCAGCGCTTCTCCTCATCTCCCCTTTCCGAGGCTATGACTCGTCCCAGATTCCCTGGAGCCGCACGGAGCGTTTTGGGAGAGTCAGGACTGAGCAGAAAGTGTCCCAAAACAACCTGGCAGCTCAGAGCCCATCCCGGAGATCAGCTCAGCCTTGAAATCAGGGGGAGATTGCTTCCATCCACCTCCTGCGTCTGCCTGGAATGTGGCAGCTCCTTCAGGGCAAGTGGCACCCGAGAGAGCTCCGGGGAGTGTGATGGGGGCAGCTCCTGGTGGAAGGAAAACGCTGGGATTCACACGTTGGGAATTCGGGAATTCCACCCAGCAGGGCTTACCTCCATCTTCTGGAGTCTGCCTGCAGCTTTTACTTACAGCTTCAGTGCAAAGTGAAACCCAAAACGGATTTGTTGTGTCATCTGCCCAAGAAACCAGCAATTCAGAATCAGCCCATCACTCCCAATAGTGATTATTTGGAGTTTTGAATGATCCAGACCTTTCCCCTTATTGATTTCAATGTTTTAGGGTCTGCCTAGTAAGAAAACTTAAACATTCACCAAGTATTTTGCAATCTTCAGAACAGGAGAATTTTAGAATGAATATACACTGTAATCCCCAACTGTAAATCAGATGTTGGATCCTGAGAAACTCTCTTAAGTTTGCAGGACTTTGAACTGGAGTCAGGCAGGGAGTGCCCTGTTTGTGAAGGATATTGCTGATTCCACCACCACAGCATCCAAATCCTTAAACCTTCCATACTCCAGGACCAGATTTCAAGTCTGTCACACTTGTGAAAAAACATGAACATGTAAGAAAGCACATGTTGTCTAAAAGACCGTTTGCACTTGAAAACAATGTCAAGAACTGTGGCTGTTTCCTAACAATCCCGGTGCAGGGAACAGAGGGATAAAGTTTCTCAGCCAAGTCACAAGCTGGAACTGGTCAAGGGTGTCTGGCTGGAATTCCTGACTCACTGGGCAGGCAATGCACCTCCAGCCACTCCTGACCCCAGGCATCCCAGCTTTCTGTTCTACCAGTCATGGCAAGGGAATTGGGAATATCTGCATGGAACCACCAGCAAAGCTTTGCATTCCTGTTAAAAACCAATTTCCAAAGGCAGGAGCTGCTCCACTGCACCAGATGAAGGCAAAAGCAAGTGGAGTGATCAGCACTGGCAGAACTAATCCCATCAGAGCTGCAGGATCTGCGGAGCACCCACACAAAGGAGTGACACTCACCATCCATTGAGCATTTGCACCACAATTCCTTCAGTGATGGCACTCGAGATTAGCGGCACAACTCGGAGATTCCTTAAGCACCTGCTGAACAGCCCTTGAGGAGCACATCTGTAAGGTAGCAACACTTCACACGACTTTCCAGATATTACAGGCTTAGATATTTTACATTAAAGGCTGAAACAAGCAATTGTCTAGAATCTCAGATGCCTTCCCTCTGTTACTGTCAGATCACAAGGGTGAGACAATTAAAAAGGATTCCTTGTCTGTCCCTGCCTTGCTGGGCTCTGCCCTGGCTCCGCTCTGGCTCTCTCTGTGTCCCACTGCTCCGTGCTCTCTGACAGGCTGAAGGAGCTGGGATTGTTCAGCCTGGAAAAGAGAAGGATTTGGTTGACCCAGCTGTGGCCTTCCAGTAGCTGAAGAAAAGATGGAGAAAGACCCTTTTCCAAGGGATGGAGTGACAGGACACAGGGAATGGCTTCACACTGACAAAGAGCAGGTTAAATGGGATATTGGCAAGAAATTCCTCCCTGCGAGGGTGGGCAGGCCCTGGCACAGGTGCCCAGAGAAGCTGTGGCTGCCCCTGGATCCCTGGAAGTGCCCAAGGCCAGGTTGGACAGGGCTTGGAGCAGCCTGGGATGGTGGAAGTTGTCCCTGCCCATTGCAGGGGTGGCACTGGATGATTTTTAAGGTCCCTTCCAGCCCAAACCGTTGTGGGCTTACCTGTGCCTCGGTGGTTCTCTCCTCACCTGCTCCATCTTCACCTCCCCAAGGAACTTCTGCTGCATCTGTGACCAGAACAGGGCAGCAGAACTTCCCCTAAAGCCCTTTTCACCCCACACTGCCCAACAAAATCCCCTCCCCAAGCCTCAGGAGCTTCGGCCACAAAGGTACGAGTTCCTACAGGAAGCTCAAAGTAAAAAGGTTAAGGAGAAACATTGAGTTAAAAGTTTTATTCATTCAACATCTCACATTACAAATATTTAAAAATTATATGCATACTGGTATAAATAGTCATTTGCAAACTATTTAATAACATTAATTTTCACTAGCACTTCAACAAATGAACTCTTTAAAAAAAGTAACTTGTGTTATATAACTTAGAGTAGAACATACAAAAATATGAACTTAAACGTGAAAATGACTTTAATAAAAAATGAATTACCCTTATTTAAAATGCTATAATAAATACTACAACCTCCCCATACACAGTAAAAACTATATGGAAATTCAGCCAAGTAGTACAATTAACTGACATACTTAAATAACTTTTCCTTCTGATAATATGAGCAATACATTGGGGGAAAAACATATTAGGGATTAGTAAAAACTAGACACCCACTTGCTAAAAGTTTCACTTCCAAAAAATATAACAAAAAAATCTGATGAAAATTATAAAAACTAATTATACTTTAAAATTTAAAAATATAAAAAATAAAACAGTTGAATACAATATTGTCCCAATTCTTACAACGCTATCACAGTAGCTTTAAAATAAGATAATAAAATAAAGCAAATGACCAAAACGTTTTATTCCATTTTTTTTTAAAAATAATCTCAAATTTACATTAGTAGAAAGATTGATTTCTGATTCTTTTCTTTAGAAACACCAGCAAGAAAGAGGATTTACTAGAACAGTAGAAAATGACATTTTTAAATGTCTGCAATTAAAAACAAAGAATTACACTGCAAAGATCTTCCAGAAGTCTGAAATAGGTATTGCACATAACTTGAAGTTAACTTGCCACAATTCATCACATTCAAGTTTTAAATCACCTTTGAACAGAAGGTTTGAACTCTTCAAAAACACAAGGGGTGAATTATCAAGTCTTTCCAACAGCATCCTTATAAAACGCTAAATTCAGTCACTGCAAGGTTGAAATTTGCATTCTGCAGAGGTCTGTGTATGGAGAAGTAGAGACTATACCAAAAAAGCACGGGGCAGTGGGGTTCCTTTACATATAAAATAATCAGAAACACTTTATTTTACATTGCAAAAATAACCATGGAATTACTCTGTCACTCCCCCGGGCACGCCGCTGCTCATTAATGACACCCCCCCACCGGTAGCTAATTACACGTTAATGAGCCTGGGGCTACACGGTAACCCCAAAGAGCCCCGTGCAATCAGGAGGCTTGGCCAGCACTGCTGAAGCACAGAGTAATGGAGAGAATTGTTTATGCCCTGTAAATCGAAGTGTAACCAAAGGATCTGTAAACACGCTTGTCACACAATCACAAGTGAATATTAGTAGAATAACGATTTCTTACATTAGTCATGCATACTAACATTACATGCCTGCCACCTAGCAGGCTCTCTTTTATTCTTTAAATATAATTTAAAAGAGCAGACACGGTTCTGCATCAAACACCTAACATCGATTCTTTATTAATAATAAAAATGGCTAAACATTCACCAAAAACGTCTGCATTTGTGTATAATTTTTAAAAACTCAGTAAGAAGCGGTAGACAATTTTGATGGTTCTTGACTTTTAAATTTCTACACTATATTTATGCATTTAAATTTCATGGGTCTAAAGACAAGTGTCATTTGTCACTTTCATGCTTTTTCTTCTTTAATTCTCAACTTTACATATACTATTTCTTAAATTATATGTACACCAAATACCTGGTGCTGGGCTAAGATGTTTAAGCAACATGCTTTCTTTTCTCTGCAGATTCTAAAATAGCATTGCCAGTGCACAACATCCATAATTCAAAATGTATGCAGAGCACTGAAATGTATAAAAAGCAGAATATAAGAAAATAAAATTTATTAAAATTATTTATATTAAAAAATGAAGTATATGAAGATCTCTCAGTAATAAAAGTACAAAAAGCTACTCTTTGCAATATGAAAAATTGAGGTATTGCATAAAGAGATATCCCGTCAGTGAAAAGTGTGCCTAAAAATGCTCACTGTTGGAAAAACAAGATATACAAAAGTAGTGCATAACAAATATACATTATGTGCATGACAAAATAAGTTAGCTACAAAAACACTGTACCGAAATTCAGCAGGTCATGTACAAAGGGAAAAAATTATTATTCAAAGCTAGTTCTCAAACAGTGTTATTTTCTTGTAATGGAAACCCACCTCACCTGTTTGCTGGGTAGGATCGGCACAATAGCACACCCCAAGCCACCTACAAGCATTAAAAAAATGAAAGGAACATTCCAACTAGAATTATGTACTTCAGAGAAAAAAAAGGTCCCTGACAATCTACACAAGAGCACTCTGCATTTGCATTACTGTTGTCAATATTTTCAGGGATTTCAGTAAAAGCAGCTCCCTTGCTATACTTGACTAATAGACAGCAAATGTCTCCATTTTGACCTTTGGAACTTGGTAAGGTATCAGTTCATTAAAGCCTGTATTGAACAGAAAAACTGCTTCTCATAAAGATAATGGGGGCAGGGGGAAAGGGATGAGGGGGGCTTTGAAGGGAGCAGATGTTTTTTCCAAGCAGTGCCAGGGCAAATCTTTGGTTTGGGAGACTCTCGGGTGGTCCCAGGCCCCTGAGGCCGGGCAGAGATTGCCACAGAATCACTTTGTTTGCACACTGCTACATCCTTGGTGGAGAAGTTGGCCAGGGCATTTAGTTCAAAAGTACTAAAAATAAATTTTCAGAACTACTCCTTCATTCATCTGTTTCAAACTAAACCCTCTGCACCCACAGCGTTCGGTTCGCGTGTCCCGGGCTGATGCTTCTCAAGGTAGGACTGAGTTCCAATAAAGCCGGCGTTAATTTGCGATGTTGGCACTTCCACCTTTATCTCCCCACAATTAGTTCTGAAGAGCTGGGATCTGAGCTGGGATTCTTTCTACAGGAAGAGTTAAGAAAGGCATCTGCACACTTGCACCATTCCACGCACAGAATTTGTTACAGCTAAATTTGAGGGGATCGAAAACTGACTTTACAGCCAAGATGGGAAACCAATAAGCAGCCAATTTGAGTTTGTGTGCCACAATGGAATATCAAAACTCCAGTAAAAATCAGTGATATCCTTGAGGTATCTTTAGGTTTTCTATTTTTTCACGTCAAAATGGAGAGCAAAGGCTGGCCCCTGATGAATGTTAGTATATTAGGATATAGAGTTATATATAGCCATCAAAAATAAAATCTATATATTTATCCTTCAGGAGAGGAAATGCCAGTTCACTAGTTGTCATTACTCTAGCTTTGGTAGGATATCTAGGGCTGTAACCAGACAATTGAGTTCTCTTAAAGAAAAAAAAAAGTGCACTCCCCCCTCAGTAGTAACTTTACTCAACTTTTACATTCAGGAATTCTTAAAATGTAATCATTTTGATGAAAATATAGTAAGCTCTGCCTATCTCGTTAGTAATTTGGATGTGGGTGGTAGCCAGAGGCACGGTCAGATACACACTGAGCTAAAATTTCAGCCTCAAAACCCTTAAAAGAGTTTAAAAAAAACAAGAAAAACAAAAAAGATCATTATTATAGTGCTGCTTCAACTTTGCTCATGCATTTCTGTTGCTTTAAACATGCTCTTTCCTGTTGGTAGGTAAATGCTAACTTCATCTGTTGCTGGAAAAATCCAAAATCCAAAAAAAAAAAAAAAAAAAAGAGAGGCAAAAACAGGCTTCCCTGGGGGAAAAGTGTCAGAACAGACTGATAGTGTTATTGTTACACGGTTATTTAATAAAAGTATTATTATGTTCTTTATTAACAATAATTTAATTAAAAAACCAAAATACTCTATTGTTTCAATTCTCTTCTCTTAATATTTTTCTCTCCTCTAAGAAAAAGTTGCAGGAAATTAAGTGTTCTCTCGGTAGTAAAGACAAGAGAATGCAACTCGCTTGCAACATGTTATCGATACGAAAAGGAGTTCCCAATACAGTTTTCAATGACAAGATTCTATAAAATACCCATTATAGGTCATTCTTTCATTAGACTATTGTTAAATTACAGACTACTACAAAAGGACATGCTGTGAGTGAGGGGAGGGGTGGGGAGGGCAGTCGGGGAGAACAGAAGAGTGCACTTAATTGGAGGCCTGCAAATGAGCGATCCTTTAGTTCCAGCGGAATGAAATATGTCTCGGGCGGTCCCCTCCCTCCTTCACCAGGGGCTTGTGGAATTCCCTGCCGGCACGGGAATGGATAGCAGCCCAGCAATATTCACAGTAATACTGCAGACACGTCACGTTAGCGCAGAAGAACGGGGCGAACTTCCCGCCGCAGCGGGCGCCCTGACACTCGTCACACAGCTGATCATCCAGGACATATGGCTTAACTTCCACCTGCAGCCACAAAATGAGACAGGGGGTCATTCTTCAGGGCAAATTCTTAATTCCACACCTGTGTTTTAGCAGGGCAGACAGCAGTTATGCAGGAGGGAATGCTGCACCCAAGATTTCCCCACCATGATACCATGATCGTGGCCACTGAACACCCAAAATTCCAGGCATTTCAACACTTCTAGCCCCTCCTTGATCCTTAGGAAAAAGCCCAGAAATCAGTGCTGACCATCAGTCTCACTCCCGCTGCCACTGATTTATAGAAAAGCTCTAACAACCTACTGACTAACACCAAAACCTTGGATAATATGGGAGCTGTTTTTGATGCCAAATTAAGCTCCGTCCCTTTCAGGCAGGAATGGGAACTGTTTATACAACACTGTAAATGCTGATTAAATGTGGCCTGCAAATTTCAGTGTCTGAATTTCCAACGTTAAGACAAGTCCTTTATTCTCTAAATAAACACTTCATTTCTGTATTTTTTCCATGGCTTAGTCCTCTCAGCAAAAGGAAATCCACCTGATCTTGCTGGGATCAAGTGAGAGGCTTACCATGGGACTGATGCCCTCCTACGCTGCTGGCATTAAGGGCCAGGTAATGGGCAGGAATTCAGAACAGCAGAAATAAATACAGGTACAAGTTCTTGCTCCAGAAAGGTTTGTGAACCTTCTCTGAAGCTCATTTAATGTGATGTTTTCACCAACATTTTCAAACACCCAGGCTGTGACTGGTATCTCTGCGGATATCTCTGCATCTGGCCCGGGGCTGCTCCCCTCTGCACCTCACAGGCCTCGGACACACCTCAGGCAAAGAAGGACATTGACAAGTTCCTGGGTTTTTAAACCCACCCAATTTTATCACAGTCCAGATGGCACTGCAGTAGCTTGATGTCATTTTTGCTTACAGGACACATAAACTGCTCAGACATGGCACAGCAGCCTTTTTAATGACCTGGTTTTCTCCTCTTTCAGTGCTCCACTTGCATTTCCCAAAACCCCGCCCTGCCAACTCAGTCAATTTGTAGAAGAGCAGAAAAGCAGGCAAATATTCCTAACACCACATTCCCCATGCCCTGAGCTGCTGTGCAGTGGGAGGTTGGAGGTTTTTTGAGGACTGCTGCCTTCTCCAAGCGCTAAAAGGACAAAGATGCCACACAGGCCTCACTCATGTGGTGGCTCTGATCCCTCTGCTCAGCCACCTTCAGAGGTCAAACTGCAGCTCAGGTGTCCTTGGAACATTTTTTCTGAGTGTGACACGGCTGTAACTGCTCCCTGAGCTGGGCACAGAGGATTTCCCAGCTCCAGAGAAAGCCTTGGACACAGCAGCTCCATCAGGCCCACTGAGGGTGGGAGGCTCAGCCACTGAACCCTTCCTGTTCACTATCTCAGGGCACACCCTTCAGCAGAACCTCCTTGCCTAATTTAACAGGAAATCCCATCTTGTTGCTGTTTTTTTTTAAGTATTTTTCTTTTCACAGAAAAACAGTTTGGAAATTGTTAATAAATAGAACCTCGATAAAAACCAGTGCTGCTGCCCTCATGCACCCGATCTCTCCTAGAATGAATCCTCTCTGAGTATTTATCTCCCCACATAAAATTTATAGAAAAAATGAGGAAATAAGGAGTGGGAGGAGAGAAGGAAGGGGAAATAGATTGCAAAAGTTTTTTTCAGAGTTCACAAGTACTTACTTAAATTTGTAGTCCCACCAGCTTCAATGGACCTATTCACCCAAGTGTCTGCTTATGCAAGCACAAGTTGCACAAGGGCAGCCCAAATTATTTGTTCAAAGCTGTACAGAACTTATTTCAGAGCCAAGATTAGAACAAAGACATTCCAATTCACAGACCCACAGTCAAATTGTTGTTACAATTCTTCTGCTTTATAGCCGAAGCAGAAGTGAAATGATAATGGGCTAATCAGCCAAGTTTGGAGGTTTTCCACTGTATTAACTATAAAATTAAGATCAGCAGTGACAGTCATGTAGGAAAAATCCAGAGACAAAGGATGAATTACAAGAGGAGCTGTAAGCATCTGAGTTTCTCAAAACTGTGGTCTGAAGATCACTGTAACTGGCAGTTATATTTTAGAGAGATGAAGAGGGAAGAAAGCTAAGTGCTGATCCATTTGGCATATTCCTCTAATTTAAAATAAGAAGGAGCACAATAACAAAGGGATGAAATAACCAAGCACAGCCTTTGCACAGGCTATGGAGGGTGACTGCGAGGCTGCAGGGCACAGTAACAAGTTTACAAAGCACTACCAGGATGCTCTTGGACACCCAGCACACACTGGGGTGGTTCTGCCTTGCTCCAAAATCTGCAGAGCAGGAGTAAGAGCTGCCCCATCCTTGGCAGGCACGTCCCTCCCTGCATCTCACAACCACTACAAATCCTTGCAGTGGGTGCATCTGAGGAGCGCAGTATTCTTGGAAAAGGCCAAGGCAGCTGCCACACTTCCCACTACACTCAGCAACTCGAGAAAATCTTTTTCACAGTCACCTCCCACGTGCCAGCACCAGCAGCTCCCCACCACTCCGGCTTTACTCCGTGCTGCATCTAAGAGGCCCTCAAACTGGGATTGAGCTGGTGTAACATTCCCAAGGAGCCCGGTGAGGCAGGGAGGGGCGCAGCCTTACCCGTTTATCAATCTCCCCGTGCTGCAGCTGGACGAAGCGGGCGCTGATAGCAGCAATGTAGCTCTGTTGGTTGGAAAACGCCACCCGCCCGGCTCCCTTGGGGTACTTGAGCTCGGGGTCGGTGTCGATGCCGGCGTAGCAAACCCCTCCGTAGAGCCGGTCCATGATCATCGCCAGCTCCACTGCAGCACAAAGCAAAACCAAACAGCTGTAGGCTCGCTTGTTTCTCTCAAAGCACCACCTCAGGCCGCTTGGTGTCCCCCACTGCGGCACCACGCTCGATATTCCCTCGCTGCCAGGCTCGCTTCCCCCAGTGCTCCCCAAACCAGGCTGCACATCCAACATGCCCAGTGCTGCAGTGTGTACCTGCTCGTAAAGGCCGAGGAACACCACCAACAAAAATGGTTTTTCTTGGGTCAAGAGGCTGGGAACCATCCATAACAAAATCACTATCACTAAGGTTCCAAGGCCGGATCTGAACCTAAGGACAAAAAGCCTGGGTTTTTTAACCATTCACACTTCAAGGTGTCTCAGTAATATAAATTACAACAGTGTCCTACAGAGAAGAAAACTTCTTAAACAGCTATACTTTCTAAACTCTACTTGTTCAGCAATCATTTCTCCAAATGAAATGGTAACGAGTTCTCTTAACACAGACCGTTCGTTGAGGATGCTAAATTTCATCACTTGCTTGTTACCTAAGTTTCTGGGGAAAAAGCCCTCACCCTCTGCTGACACATTTACTTAATCATGACTGAGCTGTGCTGTACAACCCCCCATGTCACACAGATCTGCACTGCTCCTCTTGTCCCAGCCTTATCTCAGTGCAGCAGACTCCAGACCTGCCTGTTTAGTTACTGTGCTGCTCTGTATTTGGTTACAGCTGGCCAAAATTTGAAGCACAGGACTAGAGCAGAATTCTCCCCAACTATTGACAGACTTGCATCAGCCCCCCAGCCATTTGTATATTAATAATTTACAGTTCAGTGCCATGGTATGCTTTTTAGGATTTATCTGTTACAGACAACACTCAGACAATATGAATTCTACATGTTCATCATTAGCAAGCATAAAATACCTGTCTGGAAATACATTTTTTTCTAATAAAAATAGGCATTGTAACTAGACTATAAAACTTCCTTATGTCTAGTTCAAAAGCAGTAAGTTGGTATTTTCCTTATTTGACACCTTAAAGAAATTTTAACATTAACGTTCTGAGGACAGAAAAAACTGTGTGTGAAGAGCCCAGTTTGTGATTATCACCCAGGAATTGTGCAGGCCCTGACAATTCCACCTACCGGTTTGTCTTTGATAGTGGGGCTGGAAACACAGAGATAGAGCTTTCCATCTTCTTCAATGCATGCATCAATCAGTGCCTGCACAGAGCTTTCATCTTGGAACAGCAAAAATGCATATCCTGGCCAAGGGAAAACACAAACATCACTGCTGTCTGTTTGTCTATAGGACCAGAACTTTACTCAGAATTAGGTTTGACATCATGCTGCCACACAGGAAGGGGAAAGATTTAAGGTGCTCTCAGCACACGTTTCCAAGCCACAAGTGCTCTGGTTGTTCATCCCAGCTGCTGTGGAAGGCATTTAGTGCCTTTAAAAAGCTCTTATTACATGTACAACAACAGGGGGGAAGAGGGAAAATGGAATAAAGTAAAAACAGGAAGTTAAGGAAGAATTCTTTTAGTGAATAACAACTGCAAAGCCATATTCAAAACCAGCTGAGAACAATCCCAAGGATTAAATTCTTTTTTCCCCCTAAACATTGTGCCACTGTCAGACCAATCTTATGTTTTCTCACAAAAACATATTCTAAAATGCTGATTTTATTGGTTTACAGGCATTTACCTTTAGGAGGAAAATAAGATTTGCTCTCTGCCTTGTGTGGCCAGTCTACAATCAAAGGTCCAAAGCGCCGAAAACTTGCAGTGATCTCATCTGGAACAGGAGAGAAGGGAAAAGGCATTAGCTTAAAATAAACTGAACTTCAGGCACTTGAAAGACACTGATTTCAGGTAGCTTCATCCATAAATAAACATTCTGTGACCCTCCAGGTTCAGCAGCTCACAGCAGCGCTCAGTAGCTGATGGGGAATCTTTGTGACAAGTCAGAACACTCCTTATAAAACAAGACAGGCCAAAGCTCAAACTTTTCTTTCTACTGATAATTATAAATAAAAGCTCATAACCCACTAATTCAGAGAAGCTGAGCCACTCCATCTTTACAGTTATAATAATCCAGCTTCAACTGCTCTCATGGATGACATGAAATTTAAGTTGCCATGTCCCAGCAGTGCATTACAAACTCTGACACAGAAAAAGCGGGGAGTAAAACAATTCTGTGATTAAGAAAAAAAATCTTTTCAGCTTTATAGTTGCATTTCTTCTAGCCATTATCCCAGCAGGCTCATACCCATAGAACACAGAGTTCTGGTGAAACGAAGCTTCTCAACACCTAAAAGTGACTTTTTAATTTTATTTTAACAACTGCAGTGTTCTGCCACCTGTGTCTTGTGATGGACCCACCACAAACCCCTGGTGCCTCAGGAAGCCCTGCACAGATCCTGTCTGGGTTCTCACCACACACAGGTCAGAAGTTACCACAGGACAAAAATCATTGCTGGAAACAATCTCAGCTACACAGGAGGAACCAGAGTTAGGTCTTGGTACCCCACACAGACCTTATAAAACTACGAGCAGCTTTTCCTGCTGCTGACTTCTGGGGCCTGTAAAATGATTGCAATGGATTTATGAGTTTCCACAGGTGATATTGGCTTGTTTAATTTTGCACTTCTGTACTTTTTATCCTGATGAAGTCCGTTTAAATCGTGGCAAGGTGAGGCAGAACAACACCACAGCCTAAACTCAGAAAGATCCATTTCCATATCAAAGCTTGGAAAACACCCATCCCATGAGCTGACAGCCAAAAGGTTTCCCAGCCCAGCAGCTGTTCTGGGTGAGGTTTTGTACCTTCATCGATGTCCGGAGGCAGCCCCCCAACAAAGACTTTTCGGGAATAGCGTTCCACGCGCTCCCCGTTCTGGTGGGAGAAGCAGTGAGGAGACCCCAACCCGCTGTGCAGGCTCTGATCCCCACGCCCATCGTCCAGGAACCCGTCCTCCATCGGGAACAGCGAAGACTGACCTGAAGAGGGGGTTGGAAAAAAAGAAAAACAGGGAAAAAAAACCATACTAACAGAACAAAGCGCACACTGTTGGAATAATTGGGGAAAATTCACCAGTTGCTGCATCAGCAGAACTGGGAGTGCTTTGCACTCTGAATGAGCAGTTATGTTCTCGATTTCATTGCACCCTTTTAGTTTTCAGTATCACCCAGCAGCTCAAATGCTTCATTTCAGAGGAAAGGTCCCTCCTCGTAACAAACCAGGATTTCTAACGGGTGCTCGAGCTGACTGCTTTCCATAGTATTTTGTGTTTCCAATGAGGTTTTTTTTTAAAAGTACAAAAAGGGAAGGGAACAGCCAATTTGGTTTCTGGGGCTTTCACAATATCAAGCCATATATTCAATTTTCCAATGAATAGCTTCTTCCAGGGAACAGATAAAATTTCAAGGTGAAAATGGGAAAATAAGAATTCTACCAATTAAATATATTACATGTTTAAATTACCTGATATGAAAACATATCATAAACCACCCACTAATAAATAACAAAAATAACCTGAGGAAAACAGGAAAACCCACTGTCATTTACTGCAAACACTGAAAATTTTGTCTCCCCTAAAACTTTTCTTCAGTGTTACAACAGAGTTTTGTTAATGCTCTCACTCTAAGACAAAATGTTGTAAAATGAGAAATGTTCCCCTCACAGTCCAGCATCTTTCTATGATAATCCTTTATCATGGAGTTCCTTAATAATATTTCTTTTAAATATGCCACTGTATAATATCATAAACAGAGCACAGGAGCTGTTCTCTGCCATGAATTCCCTGTTTAGTTCCAATATTCAACAGCTACACAACAAACTATTCATTTAAGGAATAAATATATATAGGGAGAGTAAGTAATGAGGCATGCTACAAGTTTTAGGATACATTTCCTTTTGTCTAGGATGTGATACCACTGTGTCTGCTTTTTCAGGATTCATCCCAATCTATCACAGAAATGTACTGCTGAGGTTAATTTCTCCTGGTTTTGCTTCCTGCCCTTGAAAGAAATTGATTTTAAAAAAGAAAACATCTTGAAAACAGAAAATCTGACCAAGATACAGACATTTTCCATGAAAAAAATCAAACAGCTAAGAAGCTGAAAGAAAAAAAAAAAAAAAAAAAGGAGTAAAATCCACAGTCCATAGAATTTACAGGAATAAAAAATGGAAGGCTCGGTCAGGTTGCCTTATTTGAAATTTCAAGAATCTTTTACACACCTTTAATAAAAATAACAGCCAGGTATAATCAGGCCTCTTTCTGTAGCTGGGCAAACCTCATTCCTACTATGATAAAAATATTGTAGTATTGACTTCAGCCTTGTTTTTCCCTAAGGAACTGGTGCACATGTGATTTGTTTCATCTCTTAAGACCCCAATCCTGCAGGTATTATTGGGAGGGAGCAATTTCCAAACCTAACCCCCCATTCCAGGCTCCTCAGCTGCTCTTGGAGAACTCCACACACACATTGAACCCAGCAGGTCAGACATTCACTGTCTTTATGCTCCATCAGCACCCAAAATTCCCCAAATAAACTCCTCCAGCATTGGCATTCATAACACACACACACACACACACAAACACACAAACACAGCCCCCCAAGGTCACAAACCATCCAGGTGATGTCCACTGTGATCGTTTCAGCCTCAGGTACTCCCTAACCCAGTTAAAATGCTGATTTATGGCATGCAGACTATGCAAATGTATGTGAAACTGCTCCCTTATAAGCTTAAAGTTTGGACTTTGCCCTCTAGTAAAACTTAATGTTATTTCTCCCATGAGACATTGTCAACATTAGAAAATTAAAGAGGAATATTGTTACCTCGCCTTCTCCCATATGTCCTTGCTGCATGTTAAATGAGAAAGAAAACAGTCTTTCAATCATTGTTATAAGGACCAAAAGACCTCGTTTTATTGCCTTTATACTGACTCAGTGATTCTCAAGCCTTTGCAGATCCAGGTCATTTAAAATAAGTGTTCACAAGCTGTCCCTCCCCACCCCCCGTGGCCTCCTCAGCCCAGCTCTGTTACTTACTGATAAACCACGGCGACAGGAGGCTGACCAAGTGGATATGGATAATCAAAGAGACTTTTGGAAGCAATTTTAGCCCCAAATTTGCACATTTATTTATTTATTTGAGCTATTCCTGGGCGTGTGCCTGTAAGCAAATGGATCTTTCCTCATGCACCAGGCTCCCTCTGCCTTGCCAAACTCCAGAATATTCCAACATTGCTCTCCACCCGAGCTGGAGGAGAAGCCCTGACACAAGGAAAGTGCAAGATTGGTGTGACACTTTCTGTTTTGAAATCAGGTTGCTTTGCACAACCCACGAAATCCTTGGTTCAATTCTGACTGGCAAATAACCAGCTGAAAAACAGGAAAATCAAGGAGAAAACTGGGCCACTAAAGTTGCCTTCTAGACTCAGCAGTGTGTCCAACAGGATGGATTCTCTCACACCAACCCAAGACACTGTGCTGGAATAATTCAAGTTACCCACTCATTCCTACTTTTCATGTTTCAGAACAAATCAATTCTACTCCTAAAAACAACAGCATTTTCTGTGCTGGCTTGCAAGAACCCATTGTCAGAGCACGGCCAAACTTTCTAATCAAACTTGCACATTCTTTCTCTTTTAATCTCATTAAAATCTCTTTCTGAAAGCACGCCAACTGTTTTCAAAACTTGGATTCTTCCTGGCAAGTGCTGTGAGAAACTCTGAGCACATCATGTGCTTGATTTTGCTTCCCCATTCAAAATTGAGGCCAGCAATTAGTTTAAGCATTTCAATATTTGTAAACCACAACAATACAGGAGTCATTTCCTCTTTCCAAATAAAAACTGTATCAATCCAATTTACTTCATGATTATTTAACATCCATAAGATCATTTCACTCCTCTGGTAGAGACTCAGAATTAACACCAAGAACACAAAACAAAACCCTGGTCTTCAGACTGGAGCAGATTCTTGAGGCAAAGGTTTTATGGGAGAATCTGAAGGGCTGAAGACCTTTACAATTATAGTTTTCCCATGGTAATTTTGAATTTAGAAATGCAGGAGGCTGATGCAGTCCTCAAAGGAGAAATGTAAGGAAATCACAAAGCATCCGCAATCTTGCTGTGTCCCTGACTGAGCCCAGCAGCCTTTGCACGTTTTGGAGCACATCAAGCACTTTAAAGCCAGCTCTGCCTATAAAGCCATAAAAATCCTGCTTGTGGTTTCTGACTGAGTGACAAAACCACACAGCCTCCTTCTCTCTGTGCACTCACTGCTGGCACCAACACCCAGACACAACTGCACCGTGGATGTGAGACCACAGCTCAGGCCAGGGGACTCCTCACAGCTTCCCCACCTGAGCCACTCAAGACAAGAGGACTTTTCTCCTTTACCAGGACAAAAAACACCCCAAAAAGGCTCAGCCACCGGCTAGGAATTATTTCCAATGCCAAATGCTACATTTGGAGAACCAAATACTACGATTTTTTTCCTCTTCCTCTTCTTAATTTACCTCTTGTTTTCAGCGTTTGCTTCACGTCTAAGCCACAAAATACCAACATCTGACATTTCAAAACATTTCTCAGGAGCCACAGTTTATAAACTCACCCAGCACAGCACAGATACAAACTTTCTCTGCTCCCTGAATGCAGGGTTCATCACACGCCATTAATTTCACACAATGTGAAACTCTGTGAAATACAAACAGCATTGAGGCAAGGAATGCTCTCTTGGCAGGCCAGGAAGGCAGCTGAGTCCCCCCTTGTGGCTTTTCGAATTTCAGATTAAGAGAAGGCTTTGCTACAGGAGTACCCTGCTAAGCTGCTGCACAAATTAACCTTAAACAGCCACCTACCACAGGAAAAGGTTTCATTTGTAGATCACAACATTTGTCCATCCTTTGCTGAGAAATGAGACAACTGCAGCCTCGGTTTGGATTCCTCAAAGTTGTTTTTCTCATCCCTGTTTCTTCAGTGGTTCAGATAATTGCATAAAGGGCCTAAGATCTATTTATCTCATGAGATATCTGAGCGAAAATTTTGCTACAAAACCTAAAAAATGTGAAGTGTTCATGCAACTCGTTCAACTGCTCATTAATAACCAATGCAGAGGTGTTTTTTCAATAAGATCAGCCTGAAACTTAAAATGCTATTAGCAGCTGCTTCAATTATTTTGTCCCTTCAGTTCTCCCTTTATTTCTGTGTCTAAAATAAAGCCACAGAGAAAGTCAATGATATTTTGCAAAAATCTGCTGCTTTTAGTTTCATTTTAAGGAACATCAGGAATAAACAACCCACTCAAATTTTTGTGTCTTATCATTTGAGACACTTACTGGGCTCCTGGCCCCTTCCCTTTCTCCTTTCTTTTTGAAAAATTCATATATTTTGTGTCTATACCTCCAATTAAACGTGCTGAGCCCTCTTCCCTCCATAGGAAACACCACAAAGCCTGTCAGCACCTTGGGCATAACCCCAAAAACACATCCTGCTGAAAAACCTTGAAAAATCCATGGATCCTAAATCACTCAAACCCCAAATCTGCTCTGAGTTTGTGCTGCACAAATTGTGCCCAGGTTGAGCACCTGGTTCTTGCTGATTCCAGGTGCATTTTGTATTTATACCATCAGCAGCTGTTTGTTAAATATTTTATAACTGGAGCAAAGTGTCAGAGCCCAGATTTTTTTTTTAAGGGGCATAATAAGGTTTTCTCTATTGTTACTACCATTGGTGAGCAGTTGTTTATGTTGGAAAGTAAATATGACCACTATCTGAGAGTTTCAGGCTTTCACTGAAGTTGGGAAGGTGATTTGTGGCCAAGCTGTCCTTTGTTTCCCTTAGGACTTGTACAGAAACAGGAGTATCAAAATTCCACAGGGTTATTTCTAAAAGTGAGCTGGATATCCTTGAATCTACCAGAGAAAACATTTTGACTTGCCTGAATTTTACTTTTAAATTATAGAAAAATAACTGAAGCACAATCTGCTTT